GATATTGAGCGCGGTTCTCACCCTACATGTGTAGGGTTTGATTGGTAAATACTCAGAATGAGGTAGCTCAAAATGATCCGATTACAAAGCTGTGTAGTAGCATTTACTTCCGTTTGCTTTGGTGAGCGTCTTTTTTGACGTGGATGTTTTAGCGAGAACATATACCTTTTTTCCGTATAGGAATCTATTCACTTTTAATGGAAGACAAGAATGAGATATTTGTCTCGTCTTGGTTTCACTTAATAAGACCTGCATTACAAGGGGTTAAAGACCAGAGTGTGGTGTGAAAAAAGGGGTGACAAAAAGAGGGGGAGTGTCGCGGTGACCGCGTGCAATTGTGCAATGGCTAATCGTGTCTGAGGCATATTATTTTTCTCTTGTGCTGAACAACGAGACAAATGATAAATTGATTCTCAACTGCGTTCACAGAGTCGTTTCTGCAATTTGGAAAGCAGATTCGAAATAAACGTCAAGAACTTTCCAAGTTACTATGGCTCACTATGTGGCAGTCTCGATGTATGATCCTCCCCATACGGTATACAGGGGTCTCTGCGTGTGTTTATGACTCTCTTCTTCCGTGTTCCAAAATTGAGCCCTGTGGCAGTTTGTTTCACGATTGCTTGGTTCTGCCCCAGGACTTGTTCATTCGTGTAATATTACTTTCGCTCTGTTGACTTTCTCAGCAGAACGAAGATGCACTTCATGTATTTGAGTGTTTTGAAAGCCCTGGTTTTGGAGTCATTATTTATCTTTTGCTCACCCTACTGCTCAACCTTTTTTTTGCAAATGAGATTATATCAAGGTTTCCCACTATCATATTCTTTAATAAAGTTCAGAAGCAAAAACGCAATACATTCTTCAATCGCTGAAGAACCCATGCATCGTTTCTTCATCAAAATGTCCACTCCAATGCTGATTCGCTCAAACGCACATTATTCGCCTCCTCTCAAAAAAGTAAATAAGATTCCTTTCCAATGCAGGTGATTATTGCAGTAGTTGGTTCGGGTGCATTCATACTCAGACGAAAAATTTTCGCTGCTTTCCGCCGCATCTTTTTCTGTAAAGTCAAAAATTTGCTGAATTTAATTATTTTTCGATATTTTTGTGAGTAATCGCTTAAGTTCATTACTGTTCATTTTGAAGCGAACACTAAATCCCGTTTATTTCAGCCAGTTTACATGTTTATATCTGTGATAGTGCCGGAGGAGAAGATGTTTGATGTGAATTTCATGACGGAGTTAGCAAACACTAAAGTGGCGAGGTTGATCGCTCCTCCAATGCTGGAAGAGTTGTCAGTGTCTGTGCTTCCCGTAAGTACTCTTTTATTTAGAATTCGATACGTTGTTGGTCGTGTTTTTTTCATAGACGTGGAAGAAGTCTAGCGATACCAACCAGTGGAACACAGACCAATTGATTCATCCCAGCATTCGGGAGGGGAGGGTGGTCCGAGGAAACACTCAGTTCTCATTACCCAAGCAGGCTGACCTGCAGGCTTATGCTTTGAAATCAGCAGGCAACAAAAGTGGCAGGGAATATGGTGCGCGGGCGAGTTGTTCGGTCACGGTAGGATGTAGCAGTTACTGCCTGCGCGCTCATGCCGATGGGATCGCCTTATACGACGCACATCCATGAGAATTGCAATAAATACTGCCCAGTAGGGGACGTCCCGCCCACCCTAGGTGGGCTTCCGCTCTGTTCAGGTATGCTAGTGACACCTTAGATGTTGGTGACCAACATCTATTTTTGTCTGGCCTATATGCTTTCTCCTAACCAAGTTATGAATTCTTTATTAAGCACTACCGGTTTACAGAACGCCACGCGCACCATGGGAGGTCTCTCTTATTCGACTTAGCAACAAAGTGCACATTTTCACGCCGAATTTCGTGACAGACATACAGATAGACAGAATTAGCGCTTTATATATGGTAGGGATGAAGAGTTTGACCACCATAATAAGCACTTTTCTTCAATTCGTTTTCACGACTAGTCGCAGCTGGCGTCCCCCGTCTGAGCGGTATGCTGTCTGGAAGAATTCTGTTATAGGAATCGTTACTTAGTGTGTCGACTGGAACTCTATGAGCATTGCGAGCTGGTGTTCAACGTAGATGTGCGAGGATAGAGTCCTTTTCACTTTTTACATGGGCTAAATCATTTGAGAGCTCATCTCGAGTCCTTTGGCAGGAAAATTGATTCAGTAGCTTGGTTCAAAGCCATTTATTAGGTTTCATATAATATTTCTCCATTCATTACTCATGCTTCGCTTCAGTGCAAATCGAATCGGGATCACTGCTACTGGCTGTTGAGACTGCTCGTTGGTACGTTGTACTACATTGATTTATGTTATATTCATTTAAATCTATTGCAGCTCTGAAAAGATCAAAAAACGAGTTTGCACATTTTGCCTTTTTCGAACTTGAATCATTGAAAAATGACCACTCTTTTTAGGCGAAGGAGTTTCCCCGCGAAAAACCGTCGTGATGGTCAATAAACCTCGAACAGCTCACTTCCTAGCGCTGTTGCTAACGTGTAATGGTGTCAGCAGTACATACATTACAAGGTAACTGTAGGAAACATTCAGTATTGATGCACTAATTTAATTTTTGCCAACGTTCAATTCGATCTGGAAATAGTCATAAGGAGAGCTAAGCTTTTCCTCTGTTGTGAAAATGTCATTTTGTTTTTAGTTGTTGAAGCACGCCATTGAGGCTGGGTGAAGGTAAAACGGTGTCACGTTGGTGTTGCCACGGAAGCGATTGGTGTTGGCTCTGTCGTTTCCGCCTTCATGAAGAATGAAGTGAAATTGCAGGGACGACAGTTTGCTCGCTGCTGAGGACGCGATTCGGCAGTGGCGTATTGAAGAGTGTCGTGTTATTGTGGCTGACTATGATTCAATAAAAGACCTGGATTATGGTTTTGTAGAACTGGTACGTTTAATAGAAAATTTCGCTTTGTGATTAGATTTAGCTCCATTCCAGTCAGGGGGGAGGTGGGTCATGCGGTTTAGCGGATAGCATACTCTCCTAGTGTAAAAGTTCATGACTAAGTCTTAGGGTGCATTCATATCCGGTCGTTCGGTCGCAACGATCGCATAGGCCGATGTCATAGTTTGCGAATCGAGCGATTCGCTAGCGAATCGCTGGATCCGAGCGTTGCGCCAGCGAATCGAACGATTGCACCAGCGAGTCGAACTAGTACCAGCGACTCAATAGTGGCGGGACCCAACGTTCAAAGGAAGCCCGCCACTTTCAAACAGTGTCCACTGTCAAGTCCCGCCACTTTCAAAAAGGGTCCACTGTCACGTGACACTGTTTGAAAGTGGCGGGCTTCCTTTGAACGTTGGGTCCCGCCACTATTGAGCCGATTCGCTAGCGAATCACTGGATTCGCAAACTGTGACATCAGCCATAAGCCGCGTTTGCATAGGGAAGGCGACGCGGTGACCCAATGCAAACCGAGACACCGGGGGACTTCCTCACCCTTGCTGGTTGACGGACTACTTGAACTCAGCCCTTTACCGCCTCTGCGCTCTCTAGCGGGTCCCTCTCCTCTCCAAGGCTTAGTCCTAGGGCATTCTCTAATCGTCTGTGCTCTAGCCATCGCGGCAGGACCATTGAGGAAAAATCAAGTAGTCCGTAAACCACCCTTGCTAGCTTATTTTGTTCTCTAGGTGAATATTACTTTTCATAGATGTTTATGTTATGAAACGCAAGCACACACATCATATAAGACGCATAAAAAACGTAGGAATAAGGCTTATAGCAGGTTGTGACTTCAAAAGATTCCTTCAGCCAAACGCATTAGAACATACTGTGCACCACAATTCCAGTTTAACTTGAAGAGACCTTGAAGTTTTACGATGATCAGAATTGCGATTCAGTTGTGGCTGATTGCAATGTATAGCAATGTTTAAGCTTCAGTTTGAAATCGATTTGTCACAAGTGTTTTAACAAAATAGCGCAACTAACAGCACCATGCTCGATAAGAAAATGGAAAACGTGTTTGTGTTAATGTTTTCCTTCAGTGTATCCTCTTCGAACCGCCTGAAGCTGATTTCTGCTCTTTTCACTAGCGTTTTCTGGATCTCTCTGCTAAACTGCTTCACAGAAAGCGAATGTATATAATGTTGAGCATCGAATTGGATGGAGGAGCGGCTAGCTGTGTTATAGAGGTGAATTGCTGGTTTGCTAGTA